ACAGAGGCAAATGAGTTACTATCAGTCCTGTTGTGCAAGAGAAAGTGGATATCCCTATCAGTGTTGGGTGGGATCTCAGAAAGAGACTTATTTTCTCAAGGCTGGATAAAAACTTCTGTGAAAATCTGGAGATAAAAAAAATTACCAGACCAAAACCTAAACAAAAAAGTAGTCAAATCTATGAAACTTAAATATTTCTTCACCTGAAAAGTAGGGTGAAGAAAAGTAATGTGTGAAAAAGTCAGTTTTTCTCAGGACAAAGAGCTGAGCAGATACATTGCAGACTTTTAAAAATCTCAGGCAAAGCTGAATGTATTTTGGTCCAATATCCTCAGACTGGAGGATTCCTGGACAACAGGAAGGCAATTAGAATATGTGTATTTAACATGTCGATCATCTATCACTTAAAAAAACCCCATGCTTGTGAGCTGGGCCCCTCTCTTCCTTGCCAATACACTCCACCTGTTCACACCACATGGACTGACACCACCTAGAAGTGTCTTGTAAAGACTTCATATTTCTGATGTTATAATTACAGCTGTTCACACCTTCTCTGGCAGAGCTTTGCTGCAATCCCAAAGCTCTGCTGAAACGCTGCTGTTTCTAGTGAACCATGTTGAAATTCAGGCCAGGACTGAATGAGACCTTGCCAGTTCTCCAGCCTGTTGGTTGCAAGAGGCAAAATCCTCAAAGTCTCCCTAAACTTCCCAATTCTTCCCCAGCTTTCCCATCAGATGGCTCAAAATTTTTTGGCGAACTAGCTTTGAATCAGATGTTTCCAAGCTGACTTTTCCCCCCAAAAATAGACCAGGTTGGATGAGGTTTTGAGCAACCTAGTCTAGTGGAAAGTGTCCCTCCCCATGACAGGTGGGTTGGAACTGGATGATCTTTGAGGTCGCTTCCAACTCTAACCATTCTATGATTCTGTCATTCAAGACCGTGTCTCCCAAATGGCTGAACACCAAGGTGTGGGATGGCTTGTACAAGGGAAAAATCACCACGTTGCCCTGAACTCTCTTCCTTAGCCTTCCTTCCTGGTCAATGACAAAACCAGGATGCTGGCTACAAAGATATCTGCTCTGACCTCACAGGACACCTCATCTCATGGCCAAGAATTGTATTGTGCTTTAACTTTAGTCCGTCCACTGTTTTTTTGTAGTTCAGTGGTGCTGGAAGTCAAGGCTTACAACCTCACCTCCCTGCAGGATGACTTCTCCTGCAGTGCATCTCTATCCTGCAGCCGTGCTGTGGTCAGAGAGGACCCTGCATTGCCTGGAAAGGGCATGTGGGCCTGATCCAGGGCTGCTCAGAGGGTCCCTGGCACAGTCAGGCAACCAAGCTGAACACTGGATGGGTGTGAAACTCACATGCACCAACCCACATGCTGTGATTCAGGTAAAATAATTCTGCCCTGTCCCTCTAGTGGCAAGACAAAGATAGAAGAGAAGTGAAATTGCCCTTGGAAAATTTTGCAGGAATTGCAATTTCCTCCCAGGAGAAAATTTAATGATAAATCTCCTGAAAATGTGGAAAACACTTCAGAGCCCAAGAATTTTTAAATTAGGATCACACTCCTTATTTACAGTCCTTTTCTCCTTTCTGCCAATGTAAGAGATTTTAAAGTCAGTATGAAGCACATTAAACTAACATAGCATGTGAAAATGGCTCACCACCAGGACTTTGAAAAGATATAATACATTACTGGAGTAGAAATGAAATGTTTCTGTAACATTTGCTTTTAAATTGCAGTAAAGATTACTTCTCTTTTGGGTTGAGATAGTCTTCTGTGTTGCTATTTTGTGCTACAAGCCAAAGTGCCTCAAGACTTAATTTGCATTTAGGTAAAATGTGCAAATAAAAACTTGGTCAACGAAGTAAAGAAGTAGTTAGAAAAAAAAGTGACTTTCAAAAAGGGAAAGCCTATTTTTATCACAGAAGATCAGTGAAATGCAAAAAGAAGAATAAAACATAAGCACTGGAATGCTATTCACTGTTTTGGCATTACTAATTTTGGGACTTCACAGAATTATAAACATGTTTTTCCTCCTCTTTAACATAACAGCATCCTTTTAAATCTAATAAAACAGAATAGGTCTCTGAGCTTCTTGTTAAAATTCACACCGTATAATTATCTTTGCTGAATATCTGGATCCAAAGATTACTGCAGTAAAATAAAACAGCCAAGTTCAAAAGCAGATTGGGGGAAAAAAACCCACCATGCGTTTGAATTTATTCTGATGTAGCAAAACATGACAAGTAATCTTTGTTTGGAAAGCACTGATCATTGAGCCTCCACAGGAATACAAAGGAGCATTAGGTGCCTGGTGCCTACAAAAACCTGTCTGAAGGGCTGTCAAGCTTTATATATTTCAGCATTCACTGATTACCTGGGCTGAGGCCAAGAAGAAACTCATCCCAGAGCTCAGAGAACTGTCAACAGATTACATGACTTTTTTTTTTTCCCCCCTCTGGAGACATGGGAACTACCGAGGTTCTTGTCTCAGTGTAGGAATACACCTGTTTTTACTGCCCCTTACAACTGCATTCGGTACCTGAAGCAACTCAGAAACTTTGCAACCCAAAGGATTAGAGATTCAGAAAGGCATTGACACATACATTTCTGTTTGAAACTACTTATCTATCTACTGATGCCTTAAAAAAAAATAAAAATCAATTTTTCAATTGAAAATTCAAGTTTTCAATATTAAAGTCCAGAGAGGGACTACACAGCAGTGCCCTGGCTTCTAAAACAATTGCTCTAAAAGATATTACAACTGAACCATGCTGTCCTTTGAGCCGTGAAAGACTGTCCGTGGCTTGTCACAGCTCTCCTGCTCTGAATGACTTTCACACGTTGAGCGATTGCTTCTTGGCTTGCAAAGGTCAGAGGAGAAAACCATAAGCTAGAAATCAATCACAGCCCAGAGCAGCTTTGGCCTGGGCAGCCCCGTTCCAGCTTTTTCATCTGTGCACTTGAGGGCAAAATAGAGAGATCAAATAACTTTAAAGTGGCAGCGTTGACTTGGGACGAGAGGGATGGAGATGCTTTCTGTACGTCAAGAGGGCAATACTCTGATGCTGCCCATAAGACAGTGTAGGAAAAGATCACTTGGGATTTTTGAGCTTGGCACCCGTGCTTTTTTTCAGGTGCCCATTGCTTTTCCATGCTGCAGTTTTCCCTTGCCTCAGCCACAGCTGGGAGCACAGTCCCACCCTAAACAGCCAGTAAATCCCATCTGGCTCCTGGCAGGACTCCATTTGGTCTGTCATCTTTGCGTTGTGATCTCATGAGGGATGCGGACACTCGCATGCATGCACTGCCTGAAACCAGAGCTGCGGGCTGCCACTGCTGTGTCCATCCCCAACCTGACCTCCAGCTTCCAGACCAGGGCTGGACCAGGGCTGGACCACAGAGGAGACTGTTCTGCTGGTGCTGCTGGAGAGTCAGCCAATGTCCCCTTGGGCACCTGGAGTTACAGGCAGCACAAGCAGCTCTCCCTGGACTATAAGCTCCCTTGTAGAGCTGTGACTGTTGTGAATACTTTGGTTTTTTTAATTAAGTCTTGATTTGCTTTGCCTTTGGAGTTGGATCATTTATATTTACTTCTGAAATCTAGCCCCCCAAAAAAGTGAATTAATTCCTTCCCTCTCCAGACAAGGATCCATTCCCAGGACATGCTGCACTCACTGTCAGTCCTGAAGGGGTTAAACATGAATGCCTGGGCTTAGTGTCACATCACTTATGGCAGTTCCCAGGCACTCCCTGTTATAAATTTAATCTGTCTTTAAACAGGTGCAGCATCCCACGGGTGGCTAGTATATACCTCAGAGGTTATATTTGTTTCTCCTGACCCTGCAGAAGCAGCAAGCCTCTTGCTGAGCAGGTCCTAACCCCACACCAAGCTGTATTTTGTATCACTAAATCCTGGGACTGAGGAAGAACTGGGAGCATCGTAACAAAGCCCTGAACGAGCAGCCTCAAGAGAATAATCTTCTGATTTTGAGCTCTGGGACAGCAAACATCTCTCAGGAGTGATTTGGGTAGGTTGGACAGACAAGACAATCTCTCAAACTCCCTTCCATCATTTTTAGGTTGGACAGACAAGACAATCTCTCAAACTTCCTTCCATCATTTTTTTTTTATGCCTTGTGAGTGCTTTAGTGCTAACTTGATTGGTTGTGGCTGTAGAAAAGGCTCTGGAAAGATAATCAGTTGGTGGTTTGTTGCCATGTAGGGCCATGAAGAGATAATCAGTTGGTGGTTTGTTGCCATGTAAGGCCATGAAGATATATACATTACTTAAATGCCACTTCCATTCTGGTTGGGAATCCTTAGTGGGATTTCAGGTGAAGATGCTTTGTGCTTCCCCTCTGAGCCACAGCCTTCACTATCAGTGGTCCTGCATAAACACATTACTTAAATGCCACTTCCATTCTGGTTTGGAGTCCTTAGTGAGATTTCAGGTGAAGATGCTTTGTGCATCAGCCTTCACCATCAGTGGTCCTGCATAAAATAGGAGGAGTCTGATGCAATTTAACAGTAACTGGGGGAAAAAGAAGATTCCTAAAGTGAATGACAATGTGTTTGTTCTTCATAATCAGAATTTCTTGAGTTAGCTCTGATCCAGGCTAGTCGCTGCAGCATACCACTTCATGGTCCAAGAGGTTCAGACAACACCAGTCTGGGCAATTCTGCACCATGGTTTTTGCACATCCTTAGCCCAGGGTACCAGGATGCAGATTTTAATGGTGGACCTCTGCATAGTCACCTCAATCAGTCTTGGAAGCCAAATCCTCAAATGCAACCCCCAGGTTAACATGGAGAAGGTAGATGAAATTTCTGGAGCCACTTCCCAAGGGGTTAACCTGAAGATCCCATCCTTTAGCACCATGTCCAAGCTATTCCCTAACATCTAGTAGACTTAAGCACTTCACCAAGTATCCATATCTCAGCAAAGTATCCTTACCCCATGGAGGAGGGTGACAGATCCTTTTCTTACCTTGGTCTGGAACGTACAGAAGACATGAGTCAGGAATGGGTGCTCCCAAGCTAAGGAGAGGACTCTCTTCTCCACCATTGTACACTCAACGTCATCATCCATCAGCACCACATCCTTCTTCAGGGCTTTCACAGCAAAAAACTGGTCTGTACTCTTCAGCTCTGCAAGGAAGACCTAGGGTGGAAACAGCTGCTCAGCAAGAGCAATGATCTCCTCCCTGAGCTGGCCACACAGCCACACGAGGGTGGGAGCTGAGCTCTGGGGAATTCACTAGAGCAGACCTTACAAAAGCTCATGTTTAAGCCCCAATTCTGCCGTTAAGACTTTGTAGACTTTGAGTTTGTTCCCTACACCCAGTAGAGTTTTATGAAGCTGAACCTCAGGGAAGGATGAGAAGGTCCTGGTGATTACAAGAGCAGGGGCTACACGCCTGTAAGGACAGGACATGTCCTAGACCCAAACACTTCTGATGACAGAAACCATCTTTATGCAAATGCTTACGAGATACATTTCCTGTTTTATGACTTTAAATAACAAAGCAGAGAATATTGCTTTGTCAACATGTGAAATGCAAATGGCCTGCATCAGATCCTCAGCAGGTGTAAACTGATGTCTACAAGGAGTTAGACTGATCTATATCAGGTGTGACTTTCTCCCCTTCCTCCCAGTTAGCAGGAGGCCTGAGCAGACAGGCTGGGTCCGCCGTGCTTCCACAGAACTTCTTCTCTGAGAAGAGCAAAACGCATCCCAGAGGAGTTAGGACCTTTATCTGTTTCTATGGGCAGGGGAAAATGAGACACGGAGCAGCAGAGAAGGGTTCTCTAGAGACCACAGAGCAAAGGATTCTCTGCTGGAAGGCAGTGCCAGTCCTGATCTCTGCGCTAACAGCCAGTCGACGCTGCTTCCCACAGACTGAATAAATACGTAAGATTCATCAAAGAGGCCTTTGAAGTTCTCTACCAGACACTATTTACTAAGTAAGCTCAGACATGTTTTAGCCCTAACAAAAGTTTTATTTACCCTTTTGGCTACCGCTGCATTTCACTTTGTAGCACCAGACAGAGCGTAGAGCCCAGAGCCTCCCTCTGTCTCTGCAGTGAATGACCAGAAATGCAAACAGTGCTGATGCTGCAGGCACCCTTTTTTGCCCCCATTTTTGTGCAGGGCAATGCTCTCCTGGGGAAACTGTGGAACACAGTGTGTTTGGGACTTGTGTGATGACTTGCAAGGTGCAGGTAGGCAACGCCAGACCTCATGCAGATGGGGCTTACTCATGGGTCTGGTTGTCAAGCTTCCTAGGCCACACAGAGCTGGAGAGACTGGAGAGGCACTGAGATCTGCACACCCTTTCCCCTCTATGGGGAAGTGAATCTCACTCCAAGCAAATAAGGGCACCAGGAGCAACACCTACACAGGAAACTTGTGGGCGAAGTTTGTTGCAGAAGGGCGTGAAATAGCCCATCTTCTCCACACCCACATGGTGCACTGCAGAGACATGCAGATGTTTGCAAGCTTGGAGAGTCCATGCTAACCCAGGGGGCTGAAGCAAGATATAGAATCTCTTTCCATGGAGGTATTGAAGGCTTGACTGTACAAGCCCCTGAGCACCTTTATCTGATTAGACCTGTTCTGAGCAGAAGCTTGGATTAGATGACCTCCAGAGGTCTCTTCCTTCCAATGTAAATGTTTTTACGATATCCATGCTCCTGAGCCCAGGTTAGTCTGGGCTGTGGAGTTTGGGGTATTTTGGCTTAGCTCTAATTCAGGTGTCTCAGCTCTGCTTCCCAGGCAAAGCGTAGACACGCCAAGTGTTTTCAAATATTGGAAAGCCAACACAGCAAATATTTCACCAGTTTATGAATTGGCTGTAGCAATTGCTCCAGTTCACTTAGCAGGCAAAAAGCAGCCCTTTCTTTAAGGCACAGTTTCCACCTTGGAAAGGTTTGGAATCTGAGCAACGTGATACATAATGATAGTCATTCTCCTTCTTGGCTGTGAAAACACAATGGTGAGTTCCTCTGAAATTGCTTCACGCAGCTCTGCGCTGGCACTGAGTAACACGAATCCCCTTCCAGGGGACATCTGCAAGGAGGAGGAACAATCCACAGTTCATCAAGATTAATGAATCTACTGAAAACAGGTGGTTCTTGTTTCAAAAGCACAAATTCTTGGCTGCTGCAAAATTTGCTTTACGCTCCAGCACAGATCGGAGCTGGGAAAGAGCAGTTAGAGTTCCCAGCTGGGAGTGATCCACAATCAGCTTTTCAGCTAATGCCTCTGGCTCCCTCTGAGCTTGCTCAGGAGTAGCTGCATGAAGGGGGACAGCACGGAAATCTTTCCCACCAGCAGCTCTCAGTGGATGCCCAGGCCCTGTCAACCTGCTGCTTTCCTCTCGTCATGGGCACTCATGAGACAGCAAACTCATGGGGAAAAGGGAAGGGCAAGGAGAATCTTTGTCTTGGGCAAGGAGAAGACTGGGTTCAAGACTCAGCCATGTCAGAGCAAGGGTTCTTTAAGGGCTTGAAGATGTTTTTTCCAAAGTAGCCTTCAAACCACATGCTATTTAGTGCCATAATATGCAATATGCAGAGCTACGCAGTGGCATCTCGTGCCCTGATGCTTACCTTCCCAAAACTGCCCTTCCCCAGCATCTTGTGCAGAACAAAATCTTCAATGGTTAGTTTCAGATGCACATGGTGCTCTTCCTGCTCCTGGGGCTGTTGTCCAAAGTCTGACTCTATTAGAGACTCCCCCTTCATTGTACCCTCCACTGGAGTCTCCCAGGAGATGCCCTGTGGCTCTGCAACACACATCAAAGCATTCAAATAAATCCCTGGAATTGAGGAGAAAATCCCTGCAAAACGTACTGGTATTGTGTTTAGAGCTTTTAAAGGGTATTTCAAATAAATGTAAATGTGGTGGCCACATCTACTAAGTAGATTTTCTCTGCTCACACATTGTTTTCTCTCTGGAGGAAATTCTACTTCAGCGTAACTCCATCTTCTTCAGTAGCATTACTCCCACTTTACAAACTCCCTCATCTGTCTTTATGCTTTATGGCAGCAAAACATGACCGAACCCTTCATTTCTGGCCACCTGTGTTCTTCATTCCTGCTTGCTGGTTGTCGTTATGATGTACTCCCACTTCTTTGAGGCCTTTTCAAGACTCTTGGCAAAGCATGTGAAACATGGGACAGCATTTTCATACTGGGTCCCTACTCTTAATTTGAAGCTTGATCAAGTACTCCAGCTGTCCTGGAGTGGAACTACTCAGAGTTTCTTCAATACTCCATTCCCTTGGATGTAAGTGAACTTCTAAGAGATCCTGTCCCTTGCTGGATTTATCTCATGCACTCAAGTGCACATTTGTTGTACTGTCCTAAATTGCTGAACAGCAAAAACACTACTCAACAGACAGACCCACAGGTAACCCAGATGTGAAACCATTTGGGGCTTTACTGGTTCACATCAGCGTAGCCAGTTCTATTTGTAGAAAAGAAAGAAAATAATCTCAGATGGGGAAACCATTTATCTCCTCTTTGGGGCCAAAGGGCACTGTCCCCTTAGATCAGATGGCACCAAAACCAGCCTTTGAGGCTCAGTAGCCTGGTGCTGCACAGTATCAAACTCACAGCACTGGTATAACGTGTGCTTTGACCTTCTCACATTTTGCCCTTGGTCCAATTTCCAGGATATTATCTCCACACAAAGCAGTATTAATTTGCAGTGAGAAAGTGGATGATAGTGGGGCTTGGGGTCTCAGCTTGACCTTTGGTTAGGGTTGAAGCTGAGGACCCACTGTCCCGGTCCTTGCTAGGTTTAAGTTTTGATTCACTTGTATTCTTCTTTTTTGCCTCCCCTTTCTGGTAGCTGCATTTTAGAGCTTGTGGGAGGCAGAAAAGCATTGTTTCAATGCCATGATAGGTCTGCTGCAGTTATGGTACAGTTCTTGGAGGGACAACATGAACCATGAAGCTGGAGAGGTCCTGAAATGGCCTTTTACATGGGCTACATGGGTCTGATGTAAGATGGGACCCATTTTTGTTCCTAATATCCAGAGTTCCTTGACTCAAGCACAAAGCAGTTCAACAAGGGATCTCCCCAGGAGACTTCAGTTTTTGCTTAAGGCCACTAAGGCCCCAGTAGCTTTGTCCAAGCTCTGTTAATCAATACTCTTTCCCGATCTCTCATTCATGACACCGTCCTAAATGTCCTCTCTTGTAACTCTGAGGGCCATGACACCTAGGTCAGCTCCTGAGTGAATGAAGTGGGGATCTGTCAATAGTTTCTAAGGGTACTGGATGTCAATTTCCACCCAAAAATATGAAATCAGAAAGAGAACTGGTCATGGTGATCAGATCTCCTGTTTAGAGCTTGGTTTCTCTTTGAAGTCCCCAGATTTCATTGTCTATGAGTCCTAAGAAGGGAATAATTGCATTATTGCCAGTGGAGGTATGAGGTGTGCTCATGTAGCAGTTCAGAAAGAGAGTTTAGAGCTGAATGAGTGGTGGTTGTCATCTCATGTAACAAGATGTTGTGGTGGCATGGGGGAAGTGCAGGTTTATAGAAATAAAAGGAATCAGGTTCAGATCTATGGTATCTGCCATGCCCAAGTGATGTGTCTGGGAAAAGTTGGTGATATCCTGGGATGAGAAAGGGTATGCCTTGCTCTAGGCTGAAAGGATGCATGAAAGATTCAATGGCTAATAAATTCTCCACCCTTGTCACCTCCACCTAATCATGTACAAACCAAAAAATTAACAAAGTTCCATATCACTCCAGGAAGCTACCTTTTTTTCCTGTTGTAGATGCTGGCAATGCCTGAAGTGGTGTTATCTCCCTCACAGGAACTGGGAAGCCAATTTCAAGAGGTCCATCCCTGGAGATCTGTTCAGTGTCGCGCTGACAGCGAGCCTGGATTACAGAAAACACCGAATTACTTTTGAGCCAAACATTATGTTCTGAGCTTATGGACACTGGCTTCTAGGGGCTGGAACAAGATGATTTTAAGGTCCCTTCCAACCCAAACCATTCTATGATTCTTGAGTGTGTATGTCACAGAAGCCAAGATTGAGAAGAACCCTTCCAACCTAAACCATTCTATGATTCTTGAGTGTGAATGTCACAGAAGCCAAGATTGAGAAGGTCTTTGCTTATGAGAAGGACATCTCTGTACCTAACGTTTAGGGGTTTGGTAACCTAGAGGAACCCACAGTCTTCTGTGAGATGTGTGTGGCTGTTAACAGGTCTTTGTACTGCCAATATAGAGATCCCCTACTTTGCACAGGGGTCTGAGTCCCTGGCTACCCACACAAAGGGCATTTTAATTAACAGCTTCCTTCCCAACAGTCCTCTTTGAAGAGAAATATGGAAAAATATTAGAGGCTGGAACATGCTGCAGCCTCACTCCTCGACAGTGTCTAGATTCCAAAGAACTCCTTGCACCAGGTTGTTGCAGAAGGTATGAGCTTGTCTGGATTCAAAGGTGATGAGACAAAAGCATGAAAGATAAGTCCTCTGAGAGCTACTAAACGCTAAGACCCCACATATGGCTCAAGAAGTCCCCAAAGCCTAAATTTCTGGGGACATTTTTGGGGAAATTATCTCTCAAGAAGTCCCCAAAGCCTAAATTTCTGGAGATAAGAAGAGTATTTTGGGGAAATTATCAGTACTTGCCCTTTTCACCTCTCAATGGTGACTCCCAACTACGCAGTGCAAGGAGCTGTAGGAAGAAAGCAGGTAGGAAATAGAGAAGTGAGAGCAGAAAAAACTCCTCTTTGGAGGTTTGGCAGCACCACCTCTCACATAAAGGTGAGAAATATGCAGACCAAAACCTGGTAGATATCCCCTCAGGAAGGTATAGATGGAAAAACACCTGCTGTACCGATGAAGATGTTGCCTTGCGATACTTGAGTAACTTAAAACCTCTCACATAAAGGTGAGAAATATGCAGACCAAAACCTGGTAGATAGCCCCTCAGGAAGGTATAGATGGAAAAACACCTGCTGTACCGATGAAGGTATTGCCTTGTGATACTTGAGTAACCTAACTATGGAGGACTAGGTACCTACGGATGTTGTCCCTCTCTGAGCTTACTCAGGAGCTGAGAGGAATTCTAACAATCCTGATTTGGAACTAGAATATTCTTTTATGGTTTTGGGCTTATGACAAGCTGTTTTTCTTTCTTTTAATTCAATTTTCTCTGTTCATATAGCTTTGTTTATATGACAGTAGTATCTAGATCCTTTCCCCAAGGCCCAGGTCTCTTTATGAGAGTCCATGCTCTCTGGAGTTCCATTCCAAACAGAGCAGAGTCACAGGAAAAATTGCTGTCACAAGCATGGAGCAGGGTAGTGACAACAAAAGGACTCAAACCAAGTTCCTCTCACTCTTCCTTGGACTCTGTTACACAACCTCAATTAGGAATATAATGCAACTACAACTGTACCAAATCAGAGCAAGAGTCTATCCAGGTCATGTCCCATCTGCAGCAGGAGTCAAGCAGACACCATGTAAAGATATAAGAGCACAGCACAAAGTAATCTCCTCCAAATATTCTCCTTATCTCCAGAGATATACAACTCAGAGATTTCCATATGCAGCTTCAGAGATTCAAAGGCAGTGCTTTTCTATTAACAGAATTAATCATGCTATTATTCCTGAATGGATTTCTCTTCTATGAACACTGCAGTTTGTCCTATGGAAGCCTTTGGCCTCCACAAAGTGCTGAGTTAACTACCTATGCCATGAAGGACCCGTCTCCTAGTTTTTACTTTGAACTTGCTACCCACAGCGCTCCACTCAATGCTTTTATTCCTTGCACTGAAACAAACATGGAACGATTGATCCTCCTTTCTCCAGGTCATTCAAGGCTTAAAATATTTACCTGCTGGGTGCTCTCTATCATTGCCAGAGCTTCAGCCATTAGTTTCTGGTTAACTCCACAAAGGTTTGCTACTTTTGTCTGGCACTTGTGATGGACATTCATGCTACATGCTGAAAGAAAGAATAAGAGGTGTTAAGACAGCAAAGAACAGGTAGGCTGTAGAGGGTTTGGCATCAGGTTGGGCAGGGACATGTGCTGCTGTTGGCCAAGAGCAGAGATCAGCCACGTAAACTGCTCAAAGCCTGGGCACTGTTTATGTCTCATGAGATGGCACTCAGGTCATTTCCTGGTTCCTTATGAAGATTTTTTAATATCTTTTAGGCAAAAGGTTGCATTTCCACATCCATCAGCCTTTGCACATACAGGCTACCAAAACTCTATAGTCCATCAGCTCAGAGACAAACTGTAATCACAGAATAGGCTCTCCCCACCCCATATGATTATGAAGATGATGAAGGGTCTTGGGTCACTCTGATAGTGGAAACAGAGCATGCAAGTTGATACTAGGAGTGATTTTGGAAGACCAGCAGTGTCACTGAGATGTTCTTTGTGTCTCTGGTAAGTGGCTCTTCAACCACACATCTTTCAGTATACCAACAGTTGTCCTCCTTGAAGAATGATTCTCCATGAAGGATGGTCCTCTTGACCACTCCTTCACCACCCTGGATGCCATCTCATACAGGTCATGTAGACAAGTGTGACAAATGAGATTTGTCTCTTCAGATTGCACTCCTACAAAGACAATGTCCCACTCCCATGCTCAGCTCATGCCACATACATGAGGGACTCACCGTCACACTTCAGTCCTTGCCGCGCAAGGCCCCAGAGGAGCGTGCCGCAGTGATCACAGAAAGTTGGGCTCTTGTAGTTGTAGACTTTGAAGCGGTGAGGCATGTCGATCTTGAAGCGCTCTTTATGGAACTGCAAGAAAAAAGCCATATTGACAATTCACTCCTCTCCACCTCAGCTCTGCTCGGAAAACCAACCGCCGGCAGGATTGTACATGGGATGTCTGTTGACCTTTTATCTTTGGGTATGACCATCAAGGAAAAAATACTTATGACTATCATTCAGATACACAAAGGCAAATATTGATAAATAATAGCTATGCAATTCAGTGGGAACTGGGCATTTTAGTCCCTGGGTTTGATTTATCTGAACTGATAGTTGCTTGTATCTCAGCTGTGCATCCAGACTCCCTGAATGCTCAATGGAAAAGCATTATTTATCCCATCCTGAAATGAACGTCAACATTGTTAACATGAATCACCCTTTGGAAGAACCTATTTTTTCTTCTTTTAGTATATAGGGAGTCAAAGATGATGACAAAGTTGTATACTTCTACCCTGCAGATGTCAGAAGACAGGTGAGATGAATCTCATCTCTAAACACTGTAAAAGAAGAACAGGAGCGAGGGTGGAACTGGAAACAAAAAGTAGCTCTGGGACACAATTAAGAAAAAATGAAGAGTCCTATGAAGGACTAAGTTATATTTCTGCCCACCAAAAATAAATTTTATTATACAAGAAAAGTAAAATAAATAATAGTGGAGCTGTTAGATCTTCCACTGACTGTTTAGAAATCTCAGATAACAAGAGAGTGGGATTTTAAAGTACTGCTTTGAAAACTCAGCGTGATGTCCTGCCTAACACGGGGTAGCAAAGAATTTCCTCCAGTAAATCTCCACCTCGTGTCTATGACTTCCTCCAGAGCTATACTTCATACATTAGAAAAATGTCAGTTCTGATTCAGCAACTGATAATTCAGTGTCTGCATTTGAGTAAATCACAAGTAGGAGGTAATGAAACCACTGGGAACGTAAAAACAAAGGGCACAGATAGATCACACAGCTTTTAGTTCACTTCATCAGAAGTTGTTTTATAGCGATGTAGAAGATATCTGAATGACAATCAAGTTTAATCAAGTTTTTTGAAAGCAGCCAAAAAATAATACGTACCATTGTTTCTCTGCTATTGATTGCTGACCCCGTACACTTGGCTATTACTTTATCAATGCACTTCTTATGAATTGCAGCGTTACATTCTGAAAGAGCAAGTGTATCATGGTGTTAATAAAGAAATGCCCTAAGAAAAGATCACGTAAAAAATTATAGTAACAAACAAACAAAAAAGGCTTCTTACGTCTGCATTGATAGCCTTGTTTATTCAGACCCCTGAAATAAACAGAAAAATGGTTAATTCTGAATTTTCTGAAAGCCTCCACAGAAGAAAGGAGAGCAACTTTATGAAAGAAACAGCATAAAACACCTTTGCTTTTTATCAGCCTTTATAGAGCTTCTCTCATCTAAATACCTTCATTCAATCTAACTGTGAAGCAATTCTCTGTGGTTTTCACACCCTTTTCAGCACATATTCACATTCTGAATTTCACAATAGCCACATAGCAAACTGGACTGATGAGAAATGTCTGTGCGTTTGGCCAAAACTGAAAATATTTCTTAAAAAAAAAAGCTGAAAAATAAAGAGAGTTTTCACAGTTGGAATTACAGGCAATGCAATAACTCTACATGTAAGATGCCAAAGGTCTAGTCTGGCTGCCTTTGCCAACAGCAGGAGCATAGATATTCATATAGTAGATATGATAGAGAAGCAGAACTGGTCCCTAAGAGTTAAAAGGGGAAAATGCATAGTTCTGTTTTCATTTACCATACAAACTCATGGCAGACGGAGCAGAACGTGGGTTGTGGAAAGAAGGTGGCTGTGAACTCGTGACACTTGACATTATGGATTTTGGCCTGTTTGATGGCTCCCCTGCGCTGGTGCAAGGAAAAAAAGCCTTCAGTCTCACAGTCAGCCAGGTCCTTTGCATCTGGGGGAAAGGAAAGAGAAGATTTATTTGGGTACCCTGTCCTGATCTGGCACCTTGAGAAAATGCAGCTGCCAAAATACTAAGTGTCTGAATCCGATGGCTCACACGTGGAAATGAATATTTTTAATAAATACTGTTTTCTGAAACACACACAAGGGTTGTTTGGATGGGGATTTTAATCTACCTTTCCTACAGGGACATTAAAATTCCTTTAAACTTGGGACTGTGAGCTCCCCTGAATATTCATAATGCTGCTTTTGAAATGCAGACCAGAAATTTCCCAAGAAGAGATAATTTACAGTTAAACATAAAATTCTAACTTCACATAGCATTGAAGAATCATGCCCTAAAAAAGATGTAATTATGTAAAAATTAATAATAATGTATATATGCACACAAACACACACATGTGTGTATATATCAACATATGGGTATTTAATTGAATCCTTTACGTGTACATGAGTAAGCATTTATGTATGCTCTCCAGATTTTCTTTTTCTTGTTATTTTTCCATGCCAACAATCGCTCTGCTGTTTGCTGTGACCATAGCATTATTCTTTTTAGAACAGCAAACAAACCAATACACACACCCACACACACGTGTGCACTTATATATGTGCTTGTGCCTACACACCTAGATATGCACACAAAGTCTTACTCTCTGTCTATCTTTAGTTTTATTCATGCATTACACAGCAAGTTATATAGTTATTCTGTGGAAACTACCCCCCCCCATGTGACCTGATGCTGATCTTGCTGTTTATAATACAAATACAACTTGCACTTTCTATGTTTTGGCCTCTCTGATACCTTATACAAGGCGGCAATAGCAGCCTAGTCTATATTAAAGGTAGGAATGGATGAAGAAATTACCAATATGGACATGCTATTAGCTGCTTTCAGTACTTCTGTGTTTCTATAAATGGAAGGCCCTTCTAGATATCTATATCTGAAAGCTTCAGCCCATGCCTGTTATAAATGGAAGGCCCTTCTAGATATCTATAGGTATCTATACCTTAAAGCTTCAGCCCATGCCTGGGACAAGGCAGCAAGAACTTGGGCATCAAAAATGGGAGATAAGATTGAGTATCTGGATTGCAACCCGTTTTCTTCAACAAAGCAAAAAGCATTTCACATGGACATCGAACTCTGCGAGTGGGATTTGGTTCCCAGTGAAGACACGTAAATGACAGCATGTCCCCTGTCCAGGGTGACTAAACCACTGCCATGTCCCTGGAGGTCAAGCTGGACCAGGCAATGGAGCCCAGTGAATGACTCAGCTCACCTTGCAGCAGAAACTTGCATTTGATCAGATGAATCACTCTCTAGGTTCTTTTCCTGTTTTGCCTAGATTGCTCATGATCTTAAAAGGCCAACTAACACATCTACTTAGGTGTTATCAACTGTAAATTATATCCCAGCCTTGACATCTGCCCTATAACGCACACCATGGCACATGTTACATGCATACATACAAGTAGAATGATTTCAGAGGGAGCTGGTTCCTTCTGTATCTATTCCATCTTACTTAACATAATGAGAAAATCTACCAAAATCTGCCTTGCAAACCACAGAGGAACAGTCAATCTTCATCCCCACCGTACAAAACAAATTGCTTTTCTGCAGCATTCATTTCCAAACGTTGTGGTAGTTCCTATGAATAAATCAGTAATAGCACAGGCACTGCTTTCAGTGAAGACACCATGTCTGCCCCACATAACCAGAAATCACATCGATCAATTAACAAACAAAATCACTTGCCACTTATTTCCAGGAAGTATCTTGCATTCATCAGCATTCGGCCTTGAGGTTTCAGTTCTAGCTGATTGAGATAAGCAAAAAAACAAGAAAAAAAAGACCAGTGCAATCATTAAACAGTCATTCAAAGAAGCAACAACCACTTCAGATGACTCAAGCTATCTCCTTTTCCCAGCGGGTCAGTGAAGACACCATGTCTGCCCCACATAACCAGAAATCACATCGATCAATTAACAAACAAAATCACTTGCCACTTATTTCCAGGAAGTATCTTGCATTCATCAGCATTCGGCCTTGAGGTTTCAGTTCTAGCTGATTGAGATAAGCAAAAAAACAAGAAAAAAAAGACCAGTGCAATCATTAAACAGTCATTCAAAGAAGCAACAACCATTTCAGATGACTCAAGCTATCTCCCTTTCCCAGTGGGAATTAATGAATGCCAATGAAGACTAATTTCCTACCCATGTGGGACAAGGCAGGGTAAAAGCGACTACAGAGAGGGGAGGCTACATCACCTGTTAGCAAACTCTTGGAATGGCATGATAAAAGAGGTAAATGTGAGTAACTACAGAAGCTGTACACAGGATGCAGGTTTTTAGACCCCAGGTCATGACCAGCACTATCTATACAGACAACTTGTCATTCCCAGTGGATCTTGCAAGGGGGAAGTGGGACTACCTTGTAAAAAAACCCAGCCAACTTAGGTAGGTACTTGTAAGATGCTGAAATCTTTTAGAAGCTTTGTTCTGCAAGTCTCGCTTCCATTACAGTCAATGTGAGTGATACATAAAAGCAAGAAAAATGTTATTCTCTCCCCTCATGACCCTTGCAGGATGGGATATCTGGGACCACACTTGGGACTTGTATCGGGCAGTAAGTGGAGAGAAGATCTCAGGAGATGCTATCAGGCTGGGACACAACAGGACCAGGATCTCCCAACTCCATTTGACTTTGGGTCTGTTATTCTTGCTGGAAGCAAGCAGCAGCCCAGCCTATGTGTCCCCTCTTCTTCTCACCAGGCTGCTGCCTCCCATGGCTTTGAAGCCTGGGGTTGGAGTGATGCTGAGCAGAGCCTTTTGGTTTTCAATTCCATCCTCAAGTATCTCCATTCCTCCCCAGTTGTGTGTTAAATATGCAAATCTCTACCAAATCTTGTTCCTAGGTCTGTTAAGTGACCAAAGCCTCTTTGATTTTTCTACCCTCTGCTTAACCCAAGCAGCTTAGCCTGAGAACTGGCATGAGAAATAAAACAAAAAAGAAATTCCAGGAAATCATTTTCTTTCCAAATGTCTTTCCATTTTATTGCTATTCAGGACATGGCTACAGAGTACTACGTGTTAAAGACTATTACCAAGAAATTTCTTGCTTGGACTACCAGGGAACACAACCTTACATTTAGCATCCTTATGAAGGCTGTTACTTCAAATTTACTCCACTATAACTCCAGTGATTTTAAAGGAGTTCCTCTGGCATAATTCTTAAGTCAGGCAGCTGTGCATCAGGTACTTGATATCAGATTAAATTGTTAAAGCTGTTTCTCCAGAGCAGATAAAATAATTCACATTTAGCCACTCATATTACCATTTGTTCCCAATGGGTTTCCTAAGTGAAGATTAATACATGGGCATGTGAACCAGAATCCTTGCTAACAGAGGGCATATGTTTCAATACAACAGCAGCAGGTAATATAAATGTGTCATACTCTGGTTGGAAGTCTTTCCTTCAAGTAATATCCAAGCAGACTCAAACCATTATTCTTTGGATGGAAGCCCATTCCTGCTGCCCTGCTGATTCCAGTCACAGCTTGGCACGGACACAAGACATTCTCCTACCCCACAGCAGCTCCCCATCATGTCCTGCAAGAGGAGGTAACAATGCTCACCCATATCTCTGTCTTCCCATTGCTCTTTTTGCACCTCTCCGCGAGCACCTTGAGTTCCACCGTGGTCTCTGAAACCATTTCGGCGCTTTTGTCCTTGACAACGATGTGCATGACCCTGCCGTTGTTGATATGGGCATCGAAAGTGCTGTTCCAGGGTGGGTACATGGTGGGCTTCTTCTGTACGTACACTTGGCCATTTTCTGTCAACAAGAAGTGGTTTGGGTTGATTGGACTTGCTTCTCATCTGCACTATGGCCACCGCTCTCCAGTTCCTGAGACAGATCTGTGTTATTTACCCATTTTAAGGTCTCTCTCCTGGCATGGTGTGTAATGGACCATGTTAAGAGTGTCTTAGGAAGCTACTATGTGAAGTGAAACTTAGGATGGGACTTATCTTACTTAACTTTAGGTGTCTACAATGCATATGCCCATACCTGAGCTGTCTGAACATTAGCTCCATTCAGAGACAGTGAAGAGGATATATATTCAATATAAATATGGAGTTAGGGTGTGTTCATTTGACCAAGTACAGACATCTGACTTAGAGAAGATAATTTCCACCCTTGACTCCGTTAACTCTATTGAGTAGATCTCAAATGTAGACTCTGACACCACAGATACTCATATCTAATCAGGTGAATCTCATCCCAGATAAGCAGCTACACGTATCAACTGTCCCAGGGAAAGGCAAAATGAAACAGGTTTACTTCAGTCCCCCCAAAACCTGGGAGCACTTTGTGATGAAGGTTCAGCTGAAGGACATGTCCAGTCAGTTGCTACATCTCAGCTAAATCAGGGATGTTTATACATTAACTGCCTTGCAGACCTGCAACCACATCCACAGCAATGCAGAGATTTCAACCTAGAAAACTTTTCCTGCACTTCTTCCTCATGCATTAATTCCTCTTCCTCCACATCAGACACACCTTAAAGTGGTGATGGGTAAAAAATGGGTATCTCTGAGGCCTACCATTAGCTTGCAGAGAGTGATCTCCAGCTAGTTCTCTCTAAAACGTGTTACATCCAGCTTTACTTATTTCATACAGCCCGTTTTATTTCATACAGCCCTGTAAAGGGTTTAGCTGCTCTACTCAAGATAAATTCTATTTCACGGTTACTCTCTGCAACTTTTCAAACCATCAAATGCTGAAGCTGGAGTAATAAGAGAATAAAAAGCAGTTGTGTGAGCCACAGACTTGTGACTCCTGTCTCCTGAAGACCCTGCTCTTATTTCCAATAATCCCAGCCTTTCCCTCATCCCACCCAGCTGGAAAAGCCCATGCAGCCGATAGCCTGGAATGTGACACATGCTGAAGAAAATCTTTCCCTAGATGGGAGGACTAATTCAGGTTTCTGTCCTCTGCTCGGCTTTGATTTACACAAGCAGGAACTCAGGGATTTCTGAGGCTTTTACCACACCTCCAGGATGGATTAAAATTGGTAAACAAGCTCCAAAGTTATTGCAGGCAGGTGAGAAGAAAAGAAACAGTGATTCCTGATTTTGTAATATTCATCTCAGGAAATGAGAGAATGTTTATTGGGGAGAGAACAAATACCAGGGCTGTGAGATACAACAAAAATCTCCTTTCATCTCTATGTACACTAGTTTCCTATGAAAGGAGAAAAAATACCAGAGCCACTGATGTAAACTATACTCACTGGATAAATTTAGGTTGAGAAAGTAGCTTCCTGAGGAGTGGCATGCAGGATCCTGCAACCAATACTGATGTGTTGAAATCTCACTCCACGAGCCAACACCTGGCTCTTGGGAAGCAGTTTCGCACTTGGGTCAATCACATAAAATTTATTTGAGCTCTGGTCCCCTCTGACCATCACTGCTGGTCTGCATCACAGAACTATGTCACAGGCGATAGGACAAGAGGAAATGGCCTGAAGTTGCACCAGGGGAGGTTCAGATTGGATATCAGGAAAAGTTTTTATACTGAAAGGGTTATTAAGCCTTGGAATGGGCTGCCCAGGGAAGTGGTTGAGGCACCATCCCTGGAGGTGTTCAAAAGACAGGTTGACATAGAGCTTAGTGACACAGTCTAGTAATGGTTTTTATCAGAGTTAGGTTGATGGTTGGACTCGATGATCTTAAAGGTCCCTTCCAACCCAGAGAATTCTATGATTCTATGATTCTAACTGATCAGAGATCATTCCTGTAAAATCACTTCTCACCCTGTATGACAAGGGGTTGTACAACCAAATCCTAGGTTCAAATTCAGTTTCCCCAAAGTTCAGAGCACCTCAAACTAAGGCGAATCTGTCTATCAGTTAAGTGGGACTCACTTTTCACATACAGGGATTTAGGCAATCATATACTGAGCTCATTGTTTGCAGGCTTAATTCATTCCCATAAAGCTTGCAAATATATATTCAAAGTGCTCTTTCAACAAAAGCAGACATTATAATTAGACATAAACTTCCCAGCATCTCAGAGAGCAGAAATCTCAGTAAGGACTGTTATTTCTTTGCTCCATCTGTGAAACTCCACAGATGTGAAACACAGCACTTGCAAAACAAGTGTTTTGGATTGTGTCGCGCTCCAAAACATAACGGCTTAAATAAACAAACCCTGGAATGTGAACGAACTGGCCAATATACAGGATCAGACAGTCACCCCCAGCGCATCCCCGCTGACGTCTGTGGAATTCCGCCAGGGATTAATCTAACCCTGGGTTCCTGAAAAATAAAATAGCATCTGTCTTTTCCCGGGCAGCAGCTTCCACTGTAGCTGGGAGCACTTCTCCTGGTGGCTGGCTGAGTTCAAACGCGGAGCAGGATCTTTCACGAAGCAAATGTCACCAAGACAGGTGGTGAAATGGCACCGGGCCAGGTGGGTTGTGATGGCAGAAGCTTTTTTTAAAGGGCAGATTTTTTTTATACCTCAGGGGTGCCTATGAACTCTGAAATGTTTTGTCACCAGTAATAAATTGCTATGACACTTCTACCTGTACGAAGGTGTGGTTTGTTTTTTTTTTTATTATTATTTTTTAAAGATTATATCATCAAATACCAGGGTCCCTCTCACAAAATAAGTAAACGGAAAATACAACAAGGCTGCCCAAGATCTTTCCTGAGCTTCTGAAATTCTTTAGGGTGGCCCTGCTGTGACACCTCTGTGTCCATGGATGATGTGCATTACTCCCAGACCCCTGGGGACCTCTGTCCCAATGACTTATTTGTCACGGCTGGCCAACAAGGGACAGCCTTTGGCATGAACCCGAAGTCAGAGACAAACTCTCTTTTTTTGGGAACTAAACACATTTATCATCTACCGCAGCTCTGTTTGCCAAAAAAAAAAGCACCAACAAACAACCCCCCCCACACACACACTTCACTTTGCTAGTGCTAAATATGGTATATGTCCAACCCATAATAGGACACTGAAAAAGTTGGAGCAGAGTCATCCACCAAACTGGTTCCAGCACAAAGCCTGAAGGAAATTGGGACTGGATCTATCCTGGATTCAGCTCTGGGTTTAGGCACGTCCTGCCCTGCATTCTGCAGTCACCACCATATAGCAATCGTTTGCCCTGAAGGAATCTTAATGGCCACGTGTCAGAGAACAAGGCTGGGAGTCAGGATTGTTTCCATCCCTTACCAGCTTTGCAGGTGATTCACTCCTGCTCCTTGGCCATGCACTTTAACCAAAATTTGCATATCAGGACACCAACATAATTTCTTTTTTTAATCCCATTACCATTGAGTAGCAAGTGCTTTGTGAAACCAGGGAGCTGGAGAGCAAACCATGATCAAAAAAATCTCAAAGCAGGGAAGCAGCTATTTCAAATATACTCAGCTAATGTTTGTCATAGAATGGTTTAGGTTAGAACGGACCTTAAAGATCATCTAATTCCAACCTCTTTGCACTATACCAGGTTGCTCAAACCCATCCAGCCTGGCCTTGAACACTTCCAGGGATGGGGCATCCACAGTTTCTCTGGGCAACCTGTGCCAGTGTCTCACCACCCTCACAGGAAAGAATTTCTTCCTGAGATCTCATCTCAATCTCCCCTCTTTTCAGTTTGAAGCCATTACCCCTCGTCCTATGTTCCGACACCTTCATTGCCTTTTGACTCCTCTGAGTGTGCTTGAGCATGATAGCTCCTCAGGACCATCATGTTGAGAGCATTTCTGGCATTTAGAGTTGGGATTATCTCACTGAACGTCAGACGTGTGGCTATGAGTGGACTGTCTAAGCTGCCCTCGGAGTTAGCGGAGAGCCCTGGGCTTCTCTACAGTGTGATTCATCAGACCCATTATGGATGTCTTCCTCAAAATGAGATGAATTCCACTACAAAAAACCCTGTTTGTTCCTCTGGGGTGTAACGCAAGGGTAGCTGACTTGCTCAGATATCACTAGGCTTGCAGAACATAGGGGAGATGGATTCCACCATGGCCTCACTTTGGCTTAGTCACCCTAAGTTAAGGTTAGCCATCTACACATTTAGACACCCCCTATCATCAGCAGATTAACAGCTCCCAAGAGTGGTTCAACCTACCCTAAGAAGGGAATCTGAGATGAATCAGTCTCGGGAGTTTCCTGCTCCTATCACTGACATGATGAGGAGTCCCTCTGGCTGCCCCACCATGCTTTGAGAAACGGCTGGATGAGTGCAATTACACCCCAGGGAATAGAAATCTTCCAGTAGAAGTATGTCAGTTTTCCTATATTCAATCCCACTAATGGAAAAAAGTTCCCTCAAGCACATTTTTTTTATTTTGTGTTGGTAGAGGTATTATTATTATTATTATTATTATTATTATTATTGACTCTCGGGAGCACAAAAAAACATATCCCTTAATTAGTACATGATGAATCAGTCTCGGGAGTTTCCTGCTCCTATCAATGACATGATGAGGAGTCCCTCTGGCTGCCCCACCATGCTTTGAGAAACGGCTGGATGAGTGCAATTACACCCCAGGGAATAGAAATCTTCCAGTAGAAGTATGTCAGTTTTCCTATATTCAATCCCACTAATGGAAAAAAGTTCCCTCAAGCACATTTTTTTTATTTCGTGTTGGTAGAGGTATTATTATTATTATTATTATTATTATTATTATTGACTCTCAGGAGCACAAAAAAATATATCCCTTAATTAGTACATTTTTCTTTGTAAGATGCCAGAAAACGCTTTCAGCTCTGTGTAAGACAAATAAATATAAGTCTGTGGTGACCAAATGGATTTTATTCACTTTTGAACTGACAAGAGACTTCAATTCGAGTTATGGCTTTGAAAGGCCTCATTGAAGCCTGCACAGACCTGAAATAGGACATATTTGCAGTAAAAATTGAGATCTTAGGGATATCTTTTCACGTAGTATTTTCTTTCCTTTTGAATTTACCAGTCACCACATCTTCCAGAATCTTTTAAAGTATAATTTAAGCCAAGATAAATTCTGACTCTTTTTTTTAAAAAGTAACAAATAAATAGGCAAACAAAAAGTGAAGTAATTAATTGTTTTAACTTCTTAGGGATATCTTTCCATGTATTTTCTTTCCTTTTGAATTTACCAGTCACCACATCTTCCAGAATCTTTTAAAGTATAATTTAAGCCAAGACAAAGTTCAATGTGATAAATGCTGACTCGTTTTTAAAAAAGAAACAAATAAATAGGCAGACAAAAAATGAAGTAATTAATTGTTTTAAAATTCTAAAATTCAGGGGTTTTAAACTACTTTAACATTCTCTAGAGGTTAGAGTAACGGACTTTCTCAAGGTATAAAAAGGGATTTTTGAGTTGAATTAATTTTTAAAAGAATCACAGCAGTCAAGTGAGGAATTTATCAAAGATTTAAGATAAATAACATCCAATATGAGGAATTCCCTACCACTGAAGGTCTTGATCTTCATGATTCTTGAAAAGCATCCTCTCACCGGGACTATTTTCACGCATAAAACATATAAGAAATGTTTTCCCAATGAGGACGCATCAAGGTTGCTCAATCAGAAAAAGTGTGCAATAATCCATATATCCAGACACAGAAAAGAGCTAAGCAGGAGGTTTCGCTTTCAAACAATTTACATAGTACAGCAATTACACAGAGAAATTAATTGTCTCTCTGCAAAGACTGGGGCTGTTTGAGAGTTGTTTTTTTTTTTTTTAAAACAGTGGAATTTCCTGGGCCGGTCGGTTCCTCCAAAAAAAAAAGTGATAAACAAAGACAGCCCTCCCAGGATATTTCTAGGACACCCGGATTTCATCTGACTGGAGCCCCACTGACAAAATAACAACTGCTCATAGAAAAGTGAAACCGAATACAGCTCAGATCATCTGCCCTATCACATGCTGGGACCTGTAATTCAGCTGGTAATAACCTCAAATTGAAGACATAGATTTGTTGGGCATTATCTGAAAATCAGGTTGTCGTGCAGACCATGCCAAACCCAAACTTGCACTGTGCTGAGACACAAAAAACACACCAGAAATGACATAGTAAGGCACACACAAGTCTTACGAAAGCTCACACGTGTATTGAACACCTCCCCACTTACCTGACTCCACGGCTTCTTTAACCATCACCGCGCAGTAAGGGTTAATCACCTCCCCCTGGGATGGCAGGTAAGGGCCACTGTCATAGTTGGACAAACCAATACGCAGAAAAGGAGACATGACAAGTCCTGCGTCAAACAAAAGACAGGCGATATTTGGGAAGAGTCTAAAAATTCCCCTGGTTTTAACCAGCCTCTTATCTCCGTCAGACAGGGGTACGCCGGCCGTTAGTTATCCATCCAACTGGAGACTCTCTGGCTTCCTCCACTGTCCAGCAAGATGACAAACTGACCCAGTGCCTCTTAACGTGCGTAAGGTAGCGTAACTCAACCACGCAGTTGAACTCATCGCAGGGCTGGAAAGACCCCAACAACAACAGCTTTGACTATGAGTAACTGGACCCCAGCCGTCAGGAACGAGAATGACAATACACAGAAGCCAAAATGGGGACTTTCTTGGCTGGGATAACCTCTGTTGTAATTTATGTTGAGTCAGGCGTTTCGAGAACCCGAATGCTGTGAGAATAGAATGGTTCTCGGGAATATAAGGCTGCTGGAAGCCTGCAAGCTGAACATGAAACTGTGAAATAACTGCGCACTATTTATATACAGCATGGAAATGATCTCGGGCATTCAACTGCGATAATTTTAAGCAGCTGAAAATAGAAACATATAAAATCAAGATGCCAGGAAACACAACAAAGCCTTTGGGTTGGTCTTCTCTGTAGGCTCTTTCACAGCTTCCAGAGGGAAGACTTAGTGAAACTAGAAATTATTAACTGCTATAGGTGGTGCCCATCATTGTGCCATCTGGGCCCAAGGACTGGGATTTACCACACAACTTCTGTGTCAACTTCTGAGCTTGTCATTCCTGGCTCCCCCTTTAGACAACAGGCAGGAAGAGGCACTTTGAATTCAGCTGCAGATGTCTACATCTTGGACCACTGAAGTTAAAAGACATGAGTCCTATCACCAGCTGGTACCTGTCAAGTATATCAACAATAATATATTGTTGAACTAAAATGGCAAAAATTTGAATGACTTGTGGTGTGGGATGCAGCCCAAGTCTCTTCTCCTTTTTACAAATAAAATGCTTTATCCCAAGGGCAGCTTCTCTAGCCTCACACAGAAGAAGATCCAGATTCATTGCTGGGAATTGCATTATCTTACCTGTAAATGGTATTTTCCTGATAGACAAGTTCAGTCTCTTGATGGAGGGGCTTCTTTTTTCATCACAGTTGTGGACAACATCAAAAGGACTTTCTCAGCTGAAATAATGAGGATAACTGCCTGTCTGGCTGGGTTGACTTTAAAATTTGGTCTCTCTGTTCAAGGAGACAGAAGGCAAGACCATCAAGGAGAGAGGGAAACTTGAGAAACCAAGACGTAGCTCCTTGCTCGAGTGTCTCCTCTCCTGCCCAGCAGTGTGGAGTGAAGAGTTTCCATCAGCCTCCTGTGCCAAAATCTGGGGCGACCGTAGAAGTCAGAACAACTTTTTGTTAGTGCGTGGCCAGGTCTCAGTAGGTGGTTGTTTGGCTTGTGTCCTGGATATGGTGAGATCTTCTCCTTCTTCCTGTTTAATAAAATGAAGAGAAATAGCTACAGTTATCATGGAGGCTGAAACACCAAATATTCTAGACCAATATTTACAAGTACTGAGCATTCACACTGTGACATTTTCTGACACTTTGGCAAACAGATGGTCCATCCAGCCAATGGCAACTATTCTTTGTCAGCGGAAGCTTCCCAGAAGATTCCCCTAAGTTTCTTAGCCTAATTAAGGCCAATCTATACAATGGACAGCATAGGAAGACTCCCCTTCCCATTTGAGTAGCTAACCACTGGTCTGAGTTTTCAGGAAAATTGCAAAGACTCCTAAATCCTCTTGGATACAGTACTTCAAAGAGAAGAAAATCTTATGAGGAGGACAGGATACGACAGAAAGAGAGAAAAAAACCACTGCAATTCACATCTACTGTGTGTATATCCCTGGGAATGTAAAGATCACGGGCCACCAGCAGGTATCAGACCTCCTCTGAAGACTGTCCAAGGACCTCTGCATTTGGCATTGCCCTCAAGTGGGAAAACATCAGTACTTTTGCAATTCTCCAGAAGCTACTGGGAAAGGCAAAGCACATGGATGTAGGAGATTAGGACAATCCTGTTCTCCTCTGAATGAGAGCAGCACCTCTCTGGAGGGTGTTTCAGAAATACATTAGCCAAGTGCCTGATGAACTTGCTTCTGGAAAGCCACTTGCATTTAGATATTCCAGCACAGGCACTTCTGTAAGGAGAGTCATTTGTGGCACTGCACAATAGTACAGTGAATAGTTTATGAGTGGTCCTTGGCACAAAAAGGCTAAAATTTCTGCCTGGACTGACAGAAGCAGAGAAATATGATCAAATTAAGGAGGGAAAAAACCTCTTTAACAGGAAGAAATATATGTATATATATTTCCCCCCCTCTGTTTGATGCAACTGTTTAGCCATTTCCTTTGTTTCAAAAATAAGAAGTGTACTCAGTCTAAAGGCAAAATGAAAAACAAATCAAAGGGCCTCTGGCAGCAGAAACGGAAATCCAAGTAGTTTCATGTTCTGTTTGTGCAATGTAGCACCAGTGTGGAAAGCTAACAAGAACCAAAGCCTAAGGCCAGCAGTCAAAGCATCTGTATCATGCCTCTGTGTGTGATTGGAGATGTATTCTCTCTGCCTCTACCATACTCCACTAATACTTCTGGTGACTGCTGGGCAAGAGAAGATCATGCATCCTCTTCCAAATCCCCAGTTCCCACACCCTTGGCTTTAAGAACCTATTGTTCCATGGACAGGAGCAGGAGGAAGAACAGAGAGACCTCTTCCCTTAAGCAGTCCCTTACCAGGACTTTCAAAAATCACTTCTAAAAACTCAGGGTGCTAATAGGAATTATTAGTCAACATGTTGGGCACCTAAGAACTAAAGAAACAAAATTAGGGCTAAAAATTTGAGCCTGGCATTCATTGCATTTCAATGAAATCAATGTAGTAACAACATCATTAAAATTGTGAAGCATCTTGTCCTGCTAAATACTCACACCACTGCTCCAAAAATCACTGGTTGGATGTGCAACAAGGTACCTGTTCAGATCTGTGGGTCTACTCCCTAAACAGTGACATTTAAAACTTTTCTTTGTCTTAAATGCTGGACACTCCCTCACTTGCCTCCAGAGTGAGGCTTCATTTTGGCTCTGTGCAATCAAGCACTTCATGAACAGGTTTCCCAGCGAGGTTGTGGCGTCTCCATCCTTGGAGATATTCAAAAGCCACATAGTCCTGGGCTGGCTCTATGTGTCCCTGTTTGAGCAGGAGGGTTGGACCAGATGACATCCAGACATCCCTTCCAAGCTCAATCAGCGTGTGATTCTGTGCAAACATGGGTGGGACAGATCTCACCTAATCTTAGATGTCTACAGCATCTGTGTCTCCATGTGAGGCAGTTATCTGGGCTCCTGAGAGATGGACAGAGAGAAACTGGCACCCTCAGATCTTGAGCTGGACACATTTTAGACGCCTCCGTTAGCATGTGATGAAACTGTTTCTCTCCTTTGAGAGAAAAGGGGAATGTCTGGGGATATCTGTTCACGCAAAGCACCTCCCCTGTAGAGATCTGGTTTTGATCAGATTCCTCGAGCCACTACATTTCAAAAAAACCCCTTGCATTGTATCAGATGGAAAAGACTAACACTGGGACTTCACATAAACCATTGCGTGAGATGTTCTGCAGCCACCAGCAAACAGGAGAGAATTTTCTACCCAGCTGCAAAGCACGTAGGTTTGGCACATCTACTGTTAAGCACTAGCAAATCAACAGCTGCCCATATAAGCCTTGCAAAGACTGTCTGAAAGCCAGCTATAGAGAGTTTACTGTCTTACCAGCCTCATGTGAGCACCCTGCCCAGGGGTGAATTTCTTCACCCTGTCCAATAAATCAGACCGATAACTGGTTTCCTGCTTCTCTCTCACCATCTTTCCTGAAAACACCTTGGCTCTGGCCCAAACATCTGTTTTCCAGGTCCTATCTCCAGCATTTGCCACTACAGGACTGCTACTTGGCTCGCATCCACAGCTATAAACAATTAACGAACAGCACAACTCGGCTCCAGCAACGCTCACTGTAATAGCAGCAGTTTAATTTAACACTAGAAGCAGCTGCATTGGATACGGAGAATGTCTGCTTAATTTCCCAGTGGAAAGGATACTGTAAAGTATCTGAAAACTAAGGATGAAATGCATCTTCCTATTAAAGGGCCACCTGCATCCTCTTCTCCAGTAAAGCACCGAATACAGTGTAATTGGGGTTCAGCAACACTGCACCCGGCTTTGCAGGCACAGGGGAGCTTTGCCCACTCCGGAGAATAATGCAACATAGGGAAATCATTCCCAGGTTACATTAGGAAGTAATAAACTCCTTAATATCCTTAATCAATTGCGGTTAAAGAGAGAGGAAGACATGAGCTCCTGCTCCTAGTCAGTGGAAGAACTGGGTTGAGGACAGCTGCCTTCACTGGGATTTATGCTTTTGTCTTTCGCTGAATGAAAATAGATGCATGCACGATGGCAACTGACTGAATGAGGGCCAACTTGAGAGGGGAGGGGAAGTATTTCTCGATTTGAGATGCTGCTTTCTTAATGTCACCAAACTTTTCATTTTCTAGAGGGCAGAGGGAATATTTCCAGCTCTCTCCCCTTTTTGAGGCAAAACTGTGCATGCAAAATGAGTTCATAATCTGAGGATCAGCATCACCAAGAGGGAGAGGAACCAGGAGTTATAGCTGAAGGGTATGAACTTTCCTTCACCCCCTGAAAGGCATCTCCCAGCCAAAAAGGCAGGTCCTGACCCTGCAAACATCTGTTTAGATAGCTGGTGGAGACTAGCTCAACACACCTCAGGCTCTTCCTGTAGATTTCAAGAGTGACAGCGAACGCCAACAGCGATGGCTGGGGTCCCTGTCTCTGTCCCCTTACTGCTCACATCCCACAGACCATACAGTAGGAAACAGGGATCTAAATAGCTCCCTTGAGTGATTTTCATTTTGGGTGCCTGTACCGCCTATTATTTCAAGGCCAGGTTGGATGTGGCTTTGAGCAACCTGGTAGTGGGAGGTGTCCCTACCCATGGCAGGGGGATTGGAACTAGATGATCTTTAAGGTCACTTCCAACCTAAACCATTCTATGATTCAGTGGAGATCAAACCAGCCTCCTCATAGGAGGAAGTTCAGAAACCCTTAGAGTGCCATCCAACATTCCTCACACTTTTCTTTTACAAGGGTGTGGATCAGAGGAGGAGGTGGAAAAGGAGGGGAGGAGGGGAGTTTGTACAGGCATTTAATTTCCCCTCTCTCCATAGTCAGCCAACCCATTCACAGAATCTCACAAAGACAGTGGAGGGAGAGGGTGAGAAGAAGAGAGACCAGCAGTCTCTGATGGGATTGATATAATACCAGACTCCAGGCGACTAAGAGCCTACCAAAACTTCATGGAATGACATAATTTCAAAGCATAGGTGATGCTCTCCACGCGAACCCTTCCTCATTTCCTGCAGACACACAGGACCCAGGCAAAGTCTTTCTTCTGCCATGTGGAAATGAAGCTTGCAGACTTTTCTGGGGCCAATGGCAGGCACAGGAATGGACATTTCTCTTTAAAAGTTGAGGCAGGGGAGGTTTGGATTGGAAATTAGGAAGAATTACTTTACTGAAAGAGTGGTCAGGCATTGGAACAGCCTGCCCAGGGAGATGGTGGAGTCACCATCCCTGAAGGTATTTAAGAAACACGGAGATGTGGCACTTCAGGGCATGCTCTAGTGGCCGGGATTGTAGGGGGTTTTTTTGTGCGTGTAAGGTTGGACTCGGTGATCTCAGAGGTCCTTTCCAATCATGATGATTCTGTGATTCTTTGAAAAGTCTCTGAGACATTAACCATGATGATTCTGTGATTCTGTGAAAAGTCTCTGGGACATCTTGTGGTGCTGTGTTTAGAGCAAGTCACGTGTACCAGTAACAGGACCTGGTCTCTTATATATAGCCTACAAACACAGCTGTTTGGACACTGCTGAGGTCACGTGGTTTCTTCCCGTTGCATTTGTTGTGCACAAGGCAAGACTGGAGTCTCAGGTCTACTTTCAAAACTTATACGTGATTTAGCTACAGTGGAGTTAACACAGGTGAACAGATTTACAGCTGTGAAAGGGTTGGTATCCTCCTTCCCACCCAGATTTACAGCTGTGAAAGGGTTGGTATCCATCCCACTGGGGAAATTGCAGAAAATTGCTGCTGGGAATGCCAGTGGTCGTTGCATACACTCTAGGAGGGGACCTACAACCGTTCCAGCAGATACATGCACAGCTGGGTCTTGAAAATGGGGAATTTGTTCTTTGCTATCTTTAGGTCTCTGCATAACAATTGCTTTAAGCTGACTGAAATGCAGGCCATGTCCAAAGACATGGTTCAGCTGTCCACCGCATCTCAGACGACAGGTTTCCAAACCTCTTCCACGAGTCCAGAGTCTGTATATGAAATGGGAACAGAGTTCTCAAA